GAGAATTGTAGATGGCATCGAAGACAGGGAGAATGGCGCCGCCGGGGTATCCGAAGATGTGTTTGACACCGTGCCGGACCATCATCTCGTGGAAGATCTGGCCTCCGGACATGCCGACGAAAGAGTCGTCAAGGGGGCCCTCAGAGGCATAGGGAGGAAGCGAAGGCGCGGGGAAAGGAACGTTGTTTCTTGTGGGCAGCTGCTGGTACCCCGGCGCAGGTGCTGGCCGTCTGTACGGATGAGTGTCTGGTCAGCGTTCTGCAAACATAGGGAGCGCGCATATACACGCACACGCCGGAGGTCGCACTAGCCTCGCGAGCACTAGACCTGCTGATATTCCTGGCGTGCTCTCTCACTCTCGACTTGGCTTCGATCATCGACGCACTCGCGGTCGCCGTGGTCGAACGAGCACGGACGAAGTGGGTCGGGGAGACCGCCTTCGAGGCGGACGGCACGCGCATCCTGGAGGCTGAGAAGGACATGCTGGCGACGGCGACGACGAAGAGCAGCGACGGCGGCGAAGAGCAAGGGAGCAGTCAGAAGAAAACTGGGGCAAGAGTCAGACCGGGCTCGAGCCTAGCACGTCTATAAACTCGACGTCCGAGTCATTCCCACCTCAATTCTCGCTCCTCACCGAATCACCTGATTCCCATCAATGCACACCCTAGTCCGGGGTTAGGTCTGGGGTTTCTATTTTTGTAATCCTGGATTTCCCACGTCCATGGTATACTGACCGCCACTTCAAACTGGGTAAGTGATCATGCACATGAGTAAGTAGTACCTGCAATTAATCGAGAGTACTCAGACATGCTCGACTCCCTATGAACAATGCTGGCATTCCCCCAATTCCACTACAAAGGACAGCAGGAGAAGCACATGACGGGCATCCAACACACGCCGGATATTGCTAGACATACTCGAAAATTCCGGCGTGAATTATGCGGTCGAGGAACGACCTCGGAGGAGGTCATCGACCGGTGGCATTAATGCGCCCTTTCCAGACACTTTCCAAGGAGCTTCTCCAGCTAAGCGACTGCATTTCAAACGCCCTCAGATACGAAGAAGCCAGTGTTACTCATGGTGTACCCTACGGCGCAGCACCGGTCCTGATGCTACAAGGCTTGTAACAGCCATCCACGGACGCGACGCGTTCTCACCGACGATTTGCGGTACGTACACTGCGCTTCCGGAAGCAAGGGTTGAATCCCAGCCTGAGAATCGGAGGGCTGCGATGTGGGCATCAATGCAAAAGGCCAGGGACCCGCAGCGTTTGAGTATAAGCACTAAGCACTCGCAAGCACTTACAAGGTGACATCATGCATTAGGACATCAGGAGGACTCCGGTCGGCGGTAGGCGGACTGCTGGCCTACTAGGTGATGAGTGCTGTGCTGCCCTCAGAAGGTTACTTGCGATAGCATCAGTCAGCCCCGACCACCTGTCCAAGACCCCCTACTTGGCTGCATGCCTCGTTGTCCGCGTTGCGACACCGGACAAGTCCGAGACAAGTCACTCAAGAGGAACACCGGGGACAAGATATGATCGCCGAAGCTGGGCATTCTACACGCCCTACGCGAGTGACAAAGGGGGCTAAATTCTCTTGGCCCGTTGATAGGACGGAGACCAAGTATACTTAGCAATACTCGGCCCGAAAGACTAGAACCTGACGTGCGGCAGGGCAAGTGGGTCATAGAATACAGCGGGTACGACACTAGGGCGGACCCCGTCCTTAATGCCAGTGTAAGGATGTCGGCATCATCGCAGGGCTCGCGTGAACTTCGCAACCACACGATAGAGTCCCGCAGCGACCAACGCGCCTTCGACTGCTTCCTCAATCCCTTTTGCTCGACGATGACGTCCAGGGATCTGAACAGAGCGCGCAAGAAGGCGGCAGCGCCGTGCGATGTCCCCGAGTTGACACCGGGCAGGCGTTGTGCTATAGACAAATGGAGTTGCAGATGCATGGAGGCCCTGGGAGAATCGGTCAGCGAGATACGTACACTCTATGCAGATAAGCGACGCACCAGGAAGCCTGACGTGCATATGTGCGAACAACAAAAGAAGCGCTACACAGGCGTAGCGCAGGGTCACCGTTGCGGCGGCGCCCACCTATCCTTCTCAACGAGATGCGCCGGGGAAGGCTGCCGAAGACGCGCAGTCAAAATCGGATCGAGCAAGCAATACAGCGGTAACAACGTACTGGCGAAGGAGAGCGCGTATATGATGACCGCGATGCGTACGGGCCCTTCCATGCCTGCTGGTACGGGGGTCCTTGTACGCCTGCTGCTGCGAGCTCGTCTGCGGTTCGACCATAGTTCTGTCTTCCCCGATTGCGGTTCCGCCGGCGCTGCCGCAACTTGATCGCAATGATTATACCTGCGACCAAGCAGACGATGACAGCTATAGGGCGCAACGTTGGCGATACGACCGGTAGAAGGCTGGCAAAGAGACGCACCGACCGACACGGCCACGGCAACAACCCAAGGTTCGTTCAGGTGCCCATCGGGCCCGTTTTCCTCATCTCCGTCCAAGATGGGATCCTGCGACTCTCTGCGAGAACGGCATCAGGTCTACTCGTCCGATTGCTACTTCGCAGAGAGAACCCACTCTGTAGGATCAGCGCGCACCCGGAGGGTAATCGCATTCGCAGACAGGGAGAGCGCGAGGCCAGTCAAGAGATATGACGACAAGTGCTCCATCTTCCGTGTATCCGTTAGCTTCAAGTTATTCAAAGTGCACAATCGGTTGTGGTGTTCGTCCAGCCAAGCAGTTCCGGGAAAGCGGGGGTCTCAAGCGTGCGTCCAGCGAGCAACAAGGGCGAAGGTTGAGCGGTGAGCCAACGCTCCTCGCGGGCGGCGAGCGTTATAAAGGCGAACATTCAGAAGACACTTGGCGGCGGGGATCTGCTGGGCCTGGAGGGAGCAGCGCGGAGGTTCCCATGCTCGCCAAGAGCCTCAAGCCTGAAGCAGCAGACGACTTGGCAAGCCAAGAGATCTGCGTGGCTCGCCGAGCTGCCCACCCCGTGCCGAGCAGCACAAACTTTCGGCACGGCATGATTCGGCAGCAGAATAGCGCAAGGAAAGAGCTCTGAGACGATGCGCGGAGCAAGGCGGGCGCGGATAGGGCGCGGAGCCAAATCGACGTTTGGCGGGTGGTGGCACCGCTGGCGGGAAAGCTTGTTCTGAATCTTAGGACGAGTCCCACGCCCAGATGCTCTCCCAAGGTTCTTGGCCGAATTAGTGCTGTTCTTACGAATGCGTTCGCCCAATCCTATTGCCTATGAGGTTAACTTTATGTACTAGTACTCTTACTTCGGCTTGAGTTTCTATAGTAGTGAAACCTACACGACTGGCCATATATGTGAGTATTCGGCTGAGTGCAATGATTTTATAGCCATACACAGATAGGATGAACCGACAAAAGAACTGCTGGAAGGAGGTCATGCATGATATGCATAGGGGTTGTACATGAAGCCTTGAAGCCTGCATCTGCGGGACCGTCGGGCTCGCTCGCCTGTGCTTGCCTCAGCGATACGCGTGACGAAACGACTGACCTGCCCGCTTGAAATTTCTGAGTGGAGACGCGACTTGCAACAGAACGAACGTAAGGAGTGCTGAGCGCTATAGGGAGACTCAGACGACCAGATCGCTGAACAGAGAGGGATCCTGAGGGAGCCGTCCCCACGACTGTTTATAAACTCCCGGTTTATTAAACCGGGAGTGCTTATAACCGGCCGGTTTATTCGTGTGTGCCGTTTGTGGTCCTCTGCTCACGCTGTTTCTCTGCAGTCTGTATGTACCCGATGTGAGCAATGCGTCCACGCGTTTTCAGCTCTGCAGAGTGCCGCGGGGAGCGAGAGCAACGTTGCGAACATTGAGCAGGGCCGCCGCCGCGCGTCTGGCAGAGCGCCCGCGCGCATCTTATCGCGGCCGGATAAGATGGCGTGTCTCAGCAGATAATCAGCCCATCTAGTCACGTGATGCGAGCGCTTCATGGTATTAATGTTCGCGACGCTGCTCTCGCTCCCCACGGCACTCTGCAGAGTTGAAACCAGTGAACATACATCAATACTCATCACAAAGCATAAGCTGCACCAGGATGAGTGATATGCCTCCAACATCAGACGAAGACGCTCACCAGGTCGCATAATTCAGCTGTGATGTTCGGAAAACATATGTCGGGCCGGCGCGCGCACGAGATAAGATGGGCCCGCTTGAGATATCATAGCCCATCTTATCTGCATCTGATATGATGGCGCCGGGCGCTTACAGGCGGCCTGGCCAGGGAGGCGCCGCCGCGCCTTGCAACGTTCACGACGTTGCTCTCCCTCCCCCCGGCACACTGGACAGCTGAAAATGCGGGTACGTGTTGCTGAACTCAGGTACATACAGGATCCAGAGAAACAGCGCGAGCAGAGGACCACAAATGGCACACACGAATAAACCGGCCGGTTATAAGCACTCCCGGTTTATTAAACCGGGAGTTTATAAGCAGCATTGGTGTCTCTACCCTGAGGGGCCAGTTGTCAGCGAACGCAGGAGTCTTTAGACATGAAGAAATTATCTTTCGCAACACTGGAGTATCACCTGATTATAAGCTTGCAAGGAGTACAGGCCTAATCGACCGCGCACTCGAAGCCCCCCGGGGCTTCTGTGTGGATCGAATGCAGTTCAGATATTTCGGGCGGGTGATCGAGCCGCCCCCAGTGCGCGGGGAGTGACCTGCGATGACGCGTGCACTGACAGAACAGATCTCTGCAGTTCATGGGCACAGGGTACCATCCCGTACCTGCACACGTTATTGAGGTTCAAACATTCAACGTCAACGTTCATGGACAAGATTATGGCGCCTGTTAGTGGTAGGGGCATCGGACACAATATTCCTGTCAATGAGTTCCTGACGGTGCTTCACCTTCTTCAGTCTTCATCCCCATCCTCTTCCCCACCCTACAGTGAACTTTGGGGTAGGCTATGCTACAACTTCTAACGGCAAAAAAATACAGTGGACACACTGGGAATTGAACCCAGCACCCCCCGCAGCCCTCGAAGGAATATTCAATGCTAAGCGGATGTGATAACCAACTACACCATGTGCCCAATGTGTGACAACAATGGCACTCAATTGATAGATACATATTGTTCGGTCTTGTCGGCGATGGCGTAAGCGCCTGCGGTCCAAGTATATCCGAAGAGCGCCTCTGGTGTCTGAGTGTTCACGAGGCTATTACCAGAACACGGTGAAGCCGCTGTACTGGATTAACAGTTCCAATTCGTGAGACACGCCAGGAGTCATGTTCGCAGCCACGATAAGGAGCAGTGCAAAAACTGCACGTTTGGCCAGAACCTCCCTGTCTCATCGCGCCTTCAGCCAAACCTCCACAAGCATGGCTGCCGCTGCATTCGTGCAACAAGGAAAGAAGGTACTGCTTGGTTCAGTATCTGTATAGATATCGAACGTACAGCTCATGATGCTCATTCACAGATTGTTGCCATTGGTCGCAACTATGGCGAGCATGCCAAGGAGCTTAACAACGCTGTCCCGAAGGAGCCCATCATCTTCCTCAAGCCGACGACGAGCTACCTTCCTTCCGGGGGTAACATGGAGATCCCTCAAGGGGTACTCGCTCACTACGAAGGTGGGTATTTTTCTACTTACATGTCGAGGACGACGCTGACCATGGAGGGATAGTCGAGCTTGGTGTCGTCGTGGGCAAGCGCGGCCGTGACGTCCCTGAATCAGAGGCGGAAAGCTACGTCGCGGGCTATGGTACCGTATACCCAGCCTAATCGCATTACATTCTACGACTAAAGCAGCTTCTCACAGCGCTTGCCGTTGACATGACTGCCCGGAACCTGCAAGAGGAGCTCAAGTCCAAGAGGCTGCCATGGACGACTGCCAAGGGCTTTGACACCTTCACGCCCATCAGGTATGCCACCTGGCACGTATAAATCCATGAATCTTCGCTTACGGAATACTTGGGTAGCTCGTACGTCCCCAAGGAGTCCGTCGCTGACGCGGCCAATCTTGGCCTCACCTTGAAGGTAGCTAGAGCCGAGTCATCCGTGTTACTTGGCGACCTTGCTGAACACGCGTGGCGGTCTTAGATCAACGGCGCGGTCAAGCAGGACGGGAACACCAAGGACATGTTGTTCTCCATTCCCCGCCTTATCCATCACATCTCCACCATCATGACCCTCGAGGTGCGCTTCTTCAATTGCTTGGGCTGACTCCATGCTGACTTGGCTTCTGTAGGAGGGCGACTTGATCCTCACCGGCACACCATCCGGTGTCGGTCCAGTCCTACCTGGAGACAAGGTCGAGTGCGCGCTCACGGACAGTACAGGCAAGCAACTCGCGACACTCCACTTCAACGCCGTGCAGCGCGCGGGCGGATACCATTACAAGCCGGAGTAAGGGAGAATTGCAATCACTCTGGCTAGCCCTTGGATATCTCATCTAAATAGCATTTAAACGTACACTACTGGTGAGGCATGATCTCGATCGCGTGCAGAGAAACAGGCAGTGAAACAACAGACAGCAATCTACTACACGTAACACGAGGGACAGCAACTGGCAAAAAGACACGAGAGGTAGAAATACAGTATTCAAAGCGTACATGGGTCTAGTTGTCGTGCGCAGTCCGTTCGTCCGAGTCTCTGCTGGCCTCTCCTGACCTGCGCTCCGCCTCGTCGATGGAGCCCGTACTTGACGCGCTGGCGAAGCTCCAGCTATCAGCGCCAGTGGGCGTCAGGGTGCCGTCGTCCGCGAACGAGTCTGAGCCTGCGCTCTGGAAGTCTCCGAAGTCTCCGAACGAGTCAAACGAGCTGTCTGCCATGAACTCGTCCGCTGTGGTTGTTGAGAAGGTGAATGGGTCGGAGCCACCAGCAGCAGCAGCATTGTCGGAGAAGGGTCCGAATGCATCCTATGGTTTTCCCGGGACGTAAGCAAACGAGCCTATGTACGACGACAGCACTTACATCCTCAAATGGATCTTGGAAGGTAGCATGGGGTTCTGAGGACGAGGAGGAAGAGCCAAACGCATCCTGAAAGTATGCAGAGTTAGCGATATTTTCGGGCCAAGCACTGGTTGCACATACATCGAAGCCACTCGCGCTAAGTGGCCTACGGTCATTGTCATGCTGTCGCGCAGTCACTGGCGGAGGCCGCAACTCAAACGTGGACTGAGCTAGCCAACCACCCCCGTCATCTTCGTCATCAGATGCCTCGTCCGAAGAGCCTATGTGGTCCGAGGACTGTATCTCATGCACGAGGTAGTTCGCAAACTAAAGGAGGTCAGGTCTGTGCCTGACGCGGCATACGTCGACGGTACGTACCCGAGACGGTGTAGAATGGAACTCGTCGTCCTCGTCGTCCATAGGCATGGAGCCGAAGTCGGCGCTACCTTCTCTCCTGCTTGACGATCGGCGGAACTCACCCTTCATCTCCGACGCCGGTTGCATCTCAGTGGTACGCCCAGGTGCTGACGTCGCAACAGAGTCAGCTTCGTCGACCTTCCATTGCGCTGCGCCATTGCGCATGGAGGGTGCGACCACAGGTTTGCCACCGCCAAGAAGGCTTGAATCCTTCTTCTTAGTCTCTTTGTATCGGCCCGTGACATACTCATCCCACTCAGGCTGGGGAGCGTACTGGCCGATCTGCAGGCGGAGGTCCGGAGGGAGGTGTTCAAGTACACCGATGACGTCTTCCGAAAGGAGGGTGAGATGTCCCATATAGCCTAACCTGACGCCCTTGGGCTTTTCACTGCAAAGACGGTGGTTAGTACGGCCGTCATGTACGCAACACTGGAAGTTACCTCTCAACATCGTTGCGTTTTGATCCTTCGATGATACGGTGCATAAGCCTTGCATCACGAAACAATGAAACCGTCAGCTCCCGGTTATATCCGCCATCGACGCGGCCAGTGAGGATTTGGTGTATAAGGTCGTAAACCACGCTGTGCAGGAAGTTGTTCCAAGGGAACTCGAAGAATAGGTCCTACGGGGACATTATTAGTTACTAGCCGATATAGACGACACGATAGGCTCACCAACAATGTTGATGCGACATTGGCCTCCAGGAATCGCTGCTTGAGACGTTCACCAAGGACCGGGCGTCCGATAGGCAGCTCCTTCGTCGATCTCCTCACGCTTCGGCGAGAATCCCTGGATCGCGGCCTAGAAAGCGATCCTTCCGGCTCCAAGTTCCAGGAGTTCTGCCGTTGTGGGAAGGAAGATATGTCACCTGGGCTGGTCGACGGGGCCGGAGGTGAGGGTGAAAGTGTTAGAGGGGAGGCGGCCCTGGCGGGGGACGAGACGGAGGATGGTCCTTGAGGGGAAGAGCTGGGATCGACTCTAGGGGACTCGTACATCGCGATCTCTTCCATGGCCTCTTCGTCCGAGCTACCACCGCTCATATCCTCATCGGAGTCAATGAGGGATGACGACGGAGCATGCGAGACGGGAAACTCATGGGCGGACTCGCCCTCATCACCCTCGTCGTCATCCATGCCATCGTCGTCACCGCTGCCGTTACCGACAGCAATGACCTGTGCCAACTCTTCTAGAGCCGAAAGACCACCCTGTAACCGGCCTTCTCCGTCATACAGGTGATCATAATCGGAGGAACGGTTGCAGAGGGACATATTCGAACAGTGAAGAAGTTCGGCATAGAGTTCGCAAATGCGATACCTCTCGAACGTCAATGGAGGGATGGCGCCTAACGTCGTGAGGACTGGTCCACTCTAGATGATATCATCAGCTGTCGCTCGTTTTGCATGCATGCGAAACCGACGTACCAGAGAGCGCGGTTCCTTGAGGAATCGTTGCAGCTTGTCCAGATGGTCGCACATGAGTTCCAGCACGGGGCCCAAGTGTACGACACCCATCCTGTTCACCATCTCCTGCATTGCTTTCTCCAGAGCTTCACGGGCACCATCCTGGTTCATCACCATCTGCTGCTGAACCTGGATGAGGCGATTCCGCAGTGTATGGAAGAGGTAGGGCTCAAAGTAGTCTGAGTTGTTCTGTCGAATGAGCTCGATGATGATGCATATTGACTGAACAACGGAAGAGGACGCAGATTCCTGGGTAATAGAGGGGCTGGCGGCGTCGTCCTTGTTAGGAGCGTGTGGTCCGAACTCGTGCAGGATGTAGCTGACGAGCTTTGAGACGTTATCGCGGTGCGCGAGCTCCCGAGCAAAGATGTTCGAGGCAGGAAGATGGTTCAACCCGTCGGAGATGCCTGCAGCAGGAGAGGGCGCAGCCATGGATATGATCCCCTTGATGAGCTCCGCAACGACTGTATGCATGTCACTATTATGTGCCGGGGACAAGAGGTCGATTAACCGCGACATCAGGCTCTCTTTGGACAGCCACTGCATGGCTTGAGGTAAGAGAGGTTCGTAGATGGGTGCACATGACATGAGGATGGACATACTTCAAGGACTCCGGCACCAGCTGGGTGTTCGTCCAGCTGGATTATGCGCACGAGAAGGTCCGCAAACGGGGGACTCTCTATATGCCGTAGAATTCGCTCGACGATATCGGGTTGCGCTTGTATGAACGCCAACATCTGAGCACGGACGCTCAGAGATCACACCACAGCGTATGGGTACCAGAGAGGAGTGTATTCACCTCTGCGGGCTTCTTGCTCAGGAACGCGACATTCACTTTTGCGAAGTGCGACGCCATCATGACCTGGCTACGCATTTCTTCCGGGGACTTGTCAAGAACTGTCTCCCAGAACGGGAGGAGCAGCTGGTCTTCGTGATTGACGCAGGTGTCGACTATGGACCATATTTCGCTGCACAAGACCTCGGTAGCGACATAGGGATACCTCCAGGGTTCGACAACTGAGCCAGGACGTCCGCCACAACTGTGACCGAACACTCACTTGAAGCTGCCCTTATCCCCGCCCTCAATCTGTCCCGTCACGTAGCCCAGAAGGCGCTGCAGAACATTGACGCGAGAAAAGTAGTCGATAAGTCGTGTATTCTGCGCTTTGCACTCCTGAAGGAGATCATCCTCGTCGAGTATCGACTCCAGGGAGACGTCTTCCTTGTCTAGAAGACTGTCGATTGCGGACGCATTATGAAAGC